TAAACTTATTGGATTCAGATTACTAGTTTCCTCCTATATCTCGCTCAGTTTTTTATCTTGTAATTTTCACATGTTTACTTCTTTATATTTCGAACCCCCTCCACAGAAATCCTGGATCCGCCACAGTTGACACCCCTTCGTTAGAAAACTATATTGTATAGATAGGTAACTTATTTATTTTATATATATGTGTTATGATATTGATATCCTTTGAATTCTTCATGAATTTACTTATTTATATTTTGACATTTCTTTATGAAAATTCTGATTCGAACACTAAAAATAACTATCAATATTAAATGACTGATGACGACGATCATGCATGATAAAAGGATGATCAAGTGAACAACTCTATCGACAATTGCATTGGGTATCAAATAAGGATAATATACTTAATAATATTGATATTTTTCTTTCTTTATAGAATAGAATAATGAGTTGGCACCTTTTTGAAGTTTCTTTTTAAGCACGTCGCCAAAAGTCAAAATTCTTTTGGATATCCCTTTCTATGGACGTCATTTAGATTTTGTCATCTATTAATGATTTTGTGCCAATTATTTATAAGATCGCATAAGATATAAACGTTCTTTTTAACTTGACCTCAATTGATATTTATCTATGTTTTTTAATTTTGAATGTATATAAGTAGACACTTGAATTTGTACAAAATTGAACAAATAGACACATTCATCTTACGTGGCATCCTACAAGTCAACTGTGTGTCCTACATATATATTATGTCACGTAGGATACATATATATATCTAGGAAAAGTTAATCCACATATACATATAAAAACATATATTACATCGTATATACGTAGAAATTAGTAATATAACAAAATAATTACTAGTGATGACAGATTTGGATTATTTAATAATTAATTTAATTATATTTGAATTATTTAATAATTATATTTTTTTTGCTTTAGTGCAAATAAGAAGCGTGCAATTTTTGTAGTAGTACGTACCTAGGATATGATCATGACCCAGATGACCACCACCCCTGTAGTTGAAAAAGAAAAGTTAGTTCCATTTCTCAGCGAAGTACGCTTTATTTGGACTTCCAGTTGTGGTTTAACTTAACAACAACAACAACAGATCTAGTGTGATCCCACACTTGTCTGGAGAGGTGGGTGGTATGCAGACTGTACCCTACCTTTGCGAGGTAGAGAGGTTGCTTACGATAAGACCCTCTCGGCTCAAGAAAAGCGTTTTTCAAACATTTTTATACTATTAATTTTACTCGTTTGGAAACCGACTCTCTACCTCCACGAGGTAGCGTAAGGTCTGTGTACACTCTACCCTCCCTAGACCTCACCTGTGTGATTACACTAGGTATGTTATTGTTGTTGTTGAATTAATAATAATTTTACTGATTATAACAGGTTATTTACCATTGTTACAGATTATTAACCCATTCTTGCTATAAAAAGTTGCATATAATTGGTTATTTTAAGTAGCATGATAGTATTAGATTTTTAAGTTGTCGGTGTACAAAAAGAAATCTGAGTGATGCTTACCATAGGCATTTGCTAGTTCAACACCTCCTTTGAAACCAAGAACGAGAGTGACACAAAGAATCATGAGGATGTAGTTTACCTCTGGGGAATAGATTTGTCCTTCATGCTTGGATGAAGTATGTATAATGTTTACTCGAGGGAAGCATCCAAGAGCAAGTGATTGCTTTACAATGGAAAAAGTTGCTGATATCATGGACTGGCTAGCAACCACGGCAGCTAGAGTTGAGATTACAAACATTGGCCAGTAAACAGGTTTTGGTAGGGAACTGTAATAAGCATTGTTGATATTCTCTGGATACCTCACTAGATAAGCTGTTTCTCCGGCATAGCTGAGAACTAGGGATGGATAAACTACAAAAGAAAATGCCAACTGCAAGACTCATTGTACAGAAATGCCATCAATCAGATTAACTTTTCTAATGGTAGATTAGAGTTCTTTGTTCCTTACCTGAATTGCTCTTTTATTGAAATGACCTAAATCAGCAAACATGGCTTCCGCTCCTGCATGACAGTTTAAAACATGTCGGAAGTGAACTAATTTTCTCCTATTTCATATGCTTTTCTTTTATCTTTTTTTTCCCCTCAAAATTAGTTGTAAAGTTAAACCTGTAATGCTTAGAAATACTGCACCGAGAAGATTCCAAGCAGTCTTTCCATTTCTTGAAACAAATTTCACTATGTAGTGTGGAGAAATGGCTTTAAGAACGGATGGATAGTACTCCAAAATATTGTAGATACCGACTGAAACATTGGTAGCAAACCACAATAACATTACGGGTGTGAAGCAGAAGCTAACTTTGCTTGTTCCACAGCGTTGAAAAGTGAAAAGTGCGATTAACATAATCACAGACATGAAAACCACATGATCTGCAGCCAATAGAACTTTCATTAAACCTCACGTTTTGGTGAGTAAATGGAAGCAGATCTGAACTAGCAATAGAACTGTCTTTTGAAAATTATTTTGACTTTACCTTGTGTTATCTTGGAAGAGAGAGATTGAATTCCTTGCAGGGCTGAGAGAACTGATGTAACAAGTGTATGGACATGAGGCAACGTCGAAAGGAAATATAACTTGGAGAAAACAAAGGAAGAATGTTACCGCAAGTAGCAGGAGTGAGAGCTCCATCACCAATGACCATACAAGTTCCAAGTAAAACAACAAAAGTAAGAACATTTTGAGCTGTGGAACTTTTCTCCAGGAACTTCTTAGTTTTTGAACGCCTAGAACTTCCACTCTCTTGGCTGTAATAAGCCATGCTCTCATCAGATTCCATCCTAACGTTGTGGATACTAAGTTTGCTTTGGAAATTGATATGGCGACAGAGATATGAATAGAGAGCAAAAGTACCGCCTTCTCCATGATCATTAGCATGGAGGACGATGAAGACATATTTGACTAACACAAGCAACGTTAGAGTCCAAAAGATTAGGCTGAATGTCCCAAGTAAATCATCTTCAGTGAGATTTGTCAAGCGAGTAGAGGAAAATACATTGACAGGAGAAGTGGCAAGGTCCCCATATACAACTCCAAGAGATTGGTAAGCCAACAACAAGGTCTGCATGGGTGGATATTCCTGAGAAAAATACTCAAAATCTCAATATCCTATGAAGTGACTTAGAAGTTTCAAGGCAGTAACAAAAAAAAGTGTGAAGTTATCAGATTTTATCGAAACTGGTAGTAGCACTAGCACACATCGAGGGTAAAATGAGAACAGGTTGCTTGTGATGATTTCATCATGTCCTATGTCAACCTCCAGATGCACCGGTCTGCAGGAACCATGATGACTTAAGGTGTTCAAAAGGAAGAGGTAGTTATAACTTAATCACATGAAGGAAGTTATCCCGAAAGACCTACACTCTCTTGAAATCTATGCAAACCTAGCAAAAGATCGGGCACAATGAAAGAAAAGGATCTATGTGGATGATACCAGTTAGTTGGTTTAAGCTTTAATTATGCTAATATGTTTACTTTCGATCCCAATGTTTGTTGGGAGTTTTTAGGTCTTGTTTGAGATTTCATGCGTGGGAAATGCAGACAGCTTCTAGTGCTACAAAAACTAATTCTTTATTATATTTGAACTTAGACAAAGCTTAATTGAGTGACATGGACAATGAGAATTCATATAGCCGAGGATTCACATAGACGGTCTTAAATAGAGGGACAGTGGATATTTCTTGGAATATTGAAGATGAGAAAAAGTAAAGCTTACCTTAGCTTTGGTTAAGGGAGACTGGTATGTCTGCATAACTGTCATGTATGTTTCCATAGCAGGTACTGGTTCTGGAACAACTCTCCTGCTGTTGTTACAAAGGTCAATACGGTTACTATCTTCAAGATTGCTTCTACTTTCAATATCATAGTTCTTTATGCTGGAATTGTTGCTTTTAACATCTTCCATGTTTTAAATGCAGGACACTTCCAATATTCTAGTTAAGAAGTTGCCGTACATTGTGTCATGCTTATATAGCTTCAAAAAAGCCTCAAGGACTATCGATTTGCAAACAGGGATATCGATTTGGTTGATCCTAAGAATAAAACAAAAGATATAAGTTAGTGCTGCAAATTCTAAAAGCCACAAGTTGCTGGAGAGGGAGCAGGTAAAGGAACACATCATCATATATATATTTTAGCAGTAATTCCACCAATTTGCATACAAATTTATTTCATCATCCTGTTGGAGCACTTATCGATTCGCAAACAGGGATATGAAGATAAATTATTGGTACATTTTCTTGTTGACATATTATATTTTATACCAAGGAGTGACTACACACTCTCACAAGTGACATATAACCAGAAATTTTTAAAAATCTGCCACTGTTGCTTTGTTGGATGAACCTTATCTAGTCTAGTCTAGTCTAGTTAAATAAATCAAGCTTAAATTTTTGCAGTAAGTTGATGACAAGTGAAAACTAGTAAATCCTCTGATTAAAAAGGTAAGCTTGATTAATGAACAAAAGCTCATATGCAATTTTGCTGGCTTATGATTCTTTTGATTATGAATTTTTTGTTTTATTATAGGTATATATATCAGTGTTGACACATCTTGACCTAAGCTGGTCCAATGTAATGGTTAAGGTGTTGCACAACTTTCTTAAACTCGTGTGTTCAGTCCTAGCTAGCGACATCATTATATTTGCCTTTTTTTTACATCTTTAATAAAAATCTTAACTCCGCCGCTATCCGTCCACATATGTACATGGAGGACGTAGGTATTGCCGAAAGTGTTAAGTGAGAAGGATGTAAGTTGTTCTAAAAGGGCTAACTGACATACAAATATGTTAACTACTTTGGAATCACACTTCTTATTAAATTTAGTCAAAGACGTAGACCTATCTGTCCAAAATACTCTTATGAGGTATTTAACTTTAAATTTTATTGGCTTTACATGTGAGTAAATCAATTTGATTGCGATTTGGTCACTATTATATTGTTCTTATCTTTTCTCTATCGTATATTCTATTCATATTTACCTCTAAATGATTAAACGTGCATTGGTGGATCAAACTGTCAAATAATAATAACACACCAAGTATAATTTTAGAAAGTGAGGTAGGGAGAGGATAAGTGTATGTGAATCTTACTTCTACTTCAGGGTGGAGAGATTCTTTCTAATAGATTCTCGACTCAAGAAAAAAAATAATTCAAAGCAATCTAGAAAGGAAGTAACAAAAGTACAAGAAATATCATATAGTAACAAAAACAACAAATAGTTATAACAACTCTTTTTGAGGGTTTTTCAATTGAAGTGATGATACTGAGAAGATATTATTTTTACTTATTTAGAGTTGTCACTTGGAATTGAGTTATGATGTTCCAAGTCACTTTTTTGGATCTCTAATCAAAAGAAAATACTCTTTTATTTTTTGTTTAGCGAAAAGAAAAGACTAGATAAGAAATTTTATTGACCGAGGGGAAGGTATGAGGCACTCTTCCAATCACGTTCGCTTTTATTAACTTATACTCAACTTAAATTATTTTTTGAATTATTGTTATAGACTATGATTTGCTCGCATTTATTGTTGGACTTTTATTGATCTCAACCTATATTCTTCACCGCATTTTTGATCTTGACATACACATGCTTAGAGACATAAGTCACTCTTTGCGAGAGTGCATTGCACCTAATAATCTTTGTCTACCCGTTTGATTTGAATTAATGAAAATTAATTATTAGAACAATTTGGGTGACTTTCTTTCAAGTGTTTCAGAAAAAATGTCTTATCACATTCTTAATTGAAACCAAATTATTTTTAAAAAAAAGATGTGTCTAAATTTGCCTCCAAAATTAGTTTGTCAATTTTTAAGTGTGAATCAAGTGGTGCCAAACTATAACCATTCAATCAAAATTTGTCAATCTATCGTTATTTCCAAAACAATATCATCAAACTTTTTTTTTGTTTTCCATTTTCGGTGTTTGGTACCCACATTGGTGCCCGACAAAATCCGAACTCACGCATGGACGTCTCACATACAGCACGACACTTGTACTCTTAGAAAAGGGTTATATTTACTCTTTGTTATACTTTTTGGTTATATTTGCTCCTACCATCCAACTTTGGGTTTATATTTCCAACTTTGGATTTATATTTCACCCTTGAGTTGTTAAATTCCACATCACTCCCTTTTATTATCCTACGTGGCACCTACATGGATATAATCTTCTCTAATTTAATTATTACACCTCACCCCCAAATAATTGGAAACGTTTTTTTCACTTGGTTCCTTTCAATTCTTTGGAGTGAGGTATAATAATTAAATTAGAGAAGATTATATCCATGTAGGAGCCATGTAGGATAATAAAAGGGGGTGATGTGGAACTTAACAACTCAAAGGATAAATATGAACCTAAAGTTGGATGGTAGGGGCAAATATAACCAAAAAGTATAACGAAGGATAAATATAGCCATTTTCTAAGAGTATAAGGGCAAATATGACCTTTTTCCGATAATAATAATAATAATATTAATGATGATAATAATAATATTAATAATAACAATAATAATATTTAATATTATTATTATTCATCTTAAACATGCACATAGTAGTTAGTAAACTTGTTGAAATTTTCTTATTAATTTCTTTTTTTGAAAAAAAAAACTAAAGCTATGTTAGCATCCAAAAGATCAAAGCAACATCCATATATAACTTATCACTTATCACACAATTGAACAAAGAACTCATCCAAATTAGTAAGGTACGAACACCAAAAAATTTGATAACTGATTAAAGAAAAGAGTGAGAAATAGATTTTTAAGCATGCAAGAAATAATCACCATATTACACCAATTTTATTTTAAATTTAATGATATAACAAGTTTAAATATATTTCAATATTATAATGTTAAAGTTATACACACATAAAATTTGAACAACTTCTAATATTGGAATCAAGTCTTATATAATTATGAAATTGAATCATACAATGAAAATTAAATGCTACCTTTTGTGAATATTAATTCACAAGAAGTAAATCGACCACAATGAGGAAGCACGAACTCGAAATCGCAAAGGTAGACATCAAAATCCTCCTTATTTTCCTTTTCTTTCCCTTTATGTGTGAGTTTTTGTGTATAATATATTGGTTGTGTAGTAACAGTGTTATAGATGTAAGATGAATGGATGTGTGTAAATGGTTCAAATGTGAAAGTGATGTGTTTTTTTGTTGTTGTTGTGCATGAGTCTGTGTAGTTAGGTTTGTGTTTGGGATTAGAGGGAGATAATGGGGGATATGGGCAGTGAGTTCAGGATTCACTACAACAATATGTATTTATAGCTATGAATTTAAGAATTGTAGCTATTACTTACTAATAGCCGCAAAATTTAAATTTTATAGTTATTTACAAATTCGTAAAAAAATATGTTAGCCACGAAATTAAGCTACCAAAGCTAATCTTTTCATTTTTGCTACAATTACTAGCAATCGGGACAATAAGTGCCTAAATAGCTACAACTTTATTGCTACATTAAACTTTTGTGGTTGATCATAGGATTTTGCCACGCGATAAAAGTTATTGTAGCAATAGTAACCTTCTAGCTACAATAAACCATTTGAGTCAAAATATTGTAGCTTAATAAATTCTTTTGCTCAAACTATAAAAAAAAGGGGCAATAGTTAAATGATATAGCCATGACTTTTTTGCTACACTAAAATTTCGTAGCTATTAATTAATTTTTGCCACGAGCAAAAATTTATCATAACAATACTAATCGTTTAGCCACAATAAATTATTTGAGATAAAACATTGTAGCTAAATAAATATATTTGTTTCAAGTTACAAAAATTGTTGCATTAGTTAAATGTTATAGTCATAGAATTTTCGCTACGATAAAATTTTGTAGCTAATTATTAATTTTTGTCATGCATTGAAACTTGTTGTAGCAATAGTGACCTTTTAGCCATGAAAAAAAGTTATTTAAAACAAATATTATATTCTAAATAAATATTTTTTGCTTTGAATACTAAAAAAATTGGCAATAGTTAACTTAATAATAATTATAATTATTTATCATGAGGAAATGATTTAGCCACAAATTTAGTATTGTAATAATAATTTGTTGCTTATAATTATTTTTTACCACAAGTTGATTGTTTATATAACCATACTAATCTTATGTAGTTAGAAGTGTCAATTGTTTGATTTGATTCAATACTACATAACTACTTGTGAATTTCAATTTCAATTTCAAATTTTCAATAAATATGTGATTATATCTAATTAATTTTAATTAACTAATTATATCGAACTTAATTATATATAATTTCACTAAGTCTTACTAAAGCTTCATCACATTGAAATGCTTCTAGAATTGTTATTTGACTTAAACTTATTCTATCAGAATAATATATTTATTGATTTAATGTGATTGAAGATGTTATTCAATTGATTTAATTCAATTTTATAGCTTGTGAGCCTAATTTATTATCTTATTGCAAAATATATTTTAAGGTGTTATAAGTTGTATTTTCTTTAAAAAGTATGATCAAATTATCTTTTGCTAAATATTGTCATATTTTATTCAAATACATAATATGAATTAGTTTAAAATATAGTTAGATAAATCGATTGTTTAGTGAATATAATTAATACAAGTACATTAATAAAAAAACAAATAAAAAATTGCCATTTCATTTATTTTTTCTATTGAAAGTTTAATTTTATTTTTGAATTTTCTATTTTAAATTTAACATTTTTAGCCATTTAATTTTTGTTTTCAATTCAAACTAAAAAAATCAATTCAAAATTCACATCCTATTTAAATTCAAATTGAAGGAATCAAATGTTGTGGAACTATATTTTGTCACGACCCAAATTGAGTCATGAGTGGCACCCACACTTAACCTCCTAAGTGGGCGGACCAAGGAACCAAGGAATCTAAACCCCAACACATACCAAT